GGGCGGACGCAGGCTAATCCGCCGACGGATTCCCAAAGCTCGCTGAGGTCAACGAGCCGGCTGATGCGGGCGCTGACGGCGTCCACCATCCTTCTCCTCCCCCTGTTCCCGCTGCCCCATCCGTCGTTGCCGACTTGCAGAAGCTGACACTGCCTCCGGCAATGAGGGGAGCAGTTGGGCATTACCTGTGGCGCCGACCGGTGGCATCGCCGCTGGCCGATATGGCGTCCAGCAAGTCGGCGTGGAAGCAGAGCCGACAAAGACCACGGAGCAACAGGCGGTGGAGTTGACGACGACAACGGGAAATTCGGCGAAGGAGACGTCGGCATGAAAGCCACCGACAGGTGAACAGCAGACAGTGAAGGGAGCGGGGGTGTTTTCGGCGACCCGAAAACTGGCAGGGGAGCCAACGACAAGGGGGAAGTGGGCCGAGCACCCGACTTTGGTGCAGTGGGCCGGTGAGGATATTGAAGCTGACGAGGATGAATGGGGAGCAATCAGCGGGCGAGGATTCCACCGACAGCGACGTGGTGGAGGTCACCGCCGAGAAGCCTGAGCTGCGACGTTCAGGCCAACTTCGGAAGCCGTCAGAGCGGCTAACCTACCGCGCCTTCCTGCCGCCGGCCACCTTCACCATGCTGTATGACGACGCGGACGCCGACATCGACTTGCCGGAGCTTGACCCCGAGCATAGCTGGGACATTGCGACGATGGCGGTGAAGGAGGCGCTGGCGAGCAGGAAGGGCAAGGCGGTGAACGCCACCACAGACGAGGAGATCTGCAGCCTCATCGCCAACAGCACGTGGGTGCTGGTCGAGTGGCCGCCCGGGGCGAACATCATGAAGAACTGGTGGGTGCTAATGATGAAGTACAACATCGACGACACCGTCGAGCGCAAGAAGGCGAGGCTGGTCGTGAAGGGCTTCATGCAGGTGTACGGCGCCGATTACGACGAGATGTACGTGCCAGTCAGCAGCTACGTCATGCTGAGGATTTTCCTCAGCATCGTCGCCATCCTCGACCTCAACCTGATGCAGCTCAACATGAAGAACGCCTTCCTGCAGAGCAAGCTCGGTCGGGTGCTGTACATGTATCAGCTGGACTACTGTAATGACGGGATCGGCCAGGTGTACAAGCTGCTGAAGGGCCTCTACGGGCTGGAGCAGTCGCCGATGTTGTGGCACAGGGCGTTCGACGACGTGCTGACTGGCGCCGACTAGAAGACGAGCCAGGTCGACGAGGCACTCCACTTCAAGGTCAGCGATGACGGAGTGACCTGCTGGATTCTCGTCTACGTTGATGACCTGCTCGGCGCCAGCAGGAGCCGAAGGTGTCAGAATATTATGCTCTAGCCTGTAGTGGGGTGCTCTATAGCGAGTACAACCCTTCTAGGGTTTGCTATTTGTATCCCCATTCTTACTAGTGCAACCCCTCCTTTGTTCATTTCTTGCTTGCCTAGCTAGGTCAACCCTAGCTATGGCTTCTCACTGTCCTTACTATCTTGACATGGTAACAGAGCGGTTACGCTCCTGTCCTGTGGGCCCACCACTTCACTGCTTCCGCTGCTACTGCTACTCCCTGTCCGCCGCGCGCCTCGTGGTACGCGGCGTTGAAATTAGGGTTTTCAGCCCGCCGTGCGCCCCGAGGCGCGCGGCGGTTTTCTGCCCGCCGTGCGCCCCGAGGCGCGCGGCGGTTCTCTGCCCGCCGTGCGCCCCGAGGCGCGCGGCGGGTTTCTGCCCCGTCACACCGCGCGTTGCTCCCGGGAGGCGCTGCGACGGGCGACGGGGACCCGCGCGTCGCCCCCCGTCGCCCGTCGTGGCCTGCGCGCGGCCCGTACAGCCGGCGCGCGGCCCGTACGGGCTGCGCCAGGCCCGCGCGCGGCCCGTACGGGCTGCGCCAGGCCCGCGCGCGGCTCGGGCCGCCTGCGCGCGGTTCGGGAGGCTGTGCCAGACCCGTGGGCGGCCCGTTCTTCGCTGCCCCTGTCCTCCCCACTGTCCCCCGTGCTTCTGAAGGCGCCCCACCCCTCCTTCTGCCCGTACTCCTTGATTAGGGTTTGGGGGTGGGGGGTATGGGGGTGCAGCTTCTGTGTGCCGTTCCCTGCTCCTCCTCCTCCTCCGTCTCCCTGTGCTGCAGCTGCCGCTGAGGGGGGTGGACCTGTTGGAGCCGTCGGAGTGGTACTAAGGGGGGGGTGAAGGGGGAGTGGAGCTAGCGGTGTAGCAGCGGGTGTGTGTCAGGGGGAGTGGGATAGTTTGGGGAGGTTGAAGGGGGTGGCCGCCGTGAAGCCAGCAGCTCCAGTCGCCCGTGAGACCGTTGCGCCAGTCGCCCGTGAGCCCGTTGCGCCAGTCGCCCGTGAGCCCGTTGCTCCAGTCGCCCGTGAGTCCGTTGCTCGTCTGCCGCTACTTTCAGCCGCGGAGCCAGTTACTCCAGTAGCCCGTGTGCCAGTTGCTCCAGTTGCCAGTGTGCCAGTTGCTCCAGTTGCCCGTGTGCCAGTTGCTCCAGTTGCGCCGTGTGCCAGCAGCTTCAGCTGCCGCCCACTACCTCCTCTCCTCTCATAGTCTCTTTCCTCCTCCTCACTTGCCCGTTGTGACTACCACTGGCTTTGCTCATAATTGTGAACTTTAAACTATTGCTTCTTGAACTTGTGCTCAGAATGTGTTGTGACAGTGTGATCCACCCTGAGCTTGTACTGTTTTGCTTGCTCTGCTGATTACACCCCACTTTGGCTATGGGGGTGTGTCAGAATATTATGCTCTAGCCTGTAGTGGGGTGCTCTATAGCGAGTACAACCCTTCTAGGGTTTGCTATTTGTATCCCCATTCTTACTAGTGCAACCCCTCCTTTGTTCATTTCTTGCTTGCCTAGCTAGGTCAACCCTAGCTATGGCTTCTCACTGTCCTTACTATCTTGACAGAAGGAGCTTCTGGAGGCCGCCTTCGAGCTGCGTGAGATCTCGCCGGTGGCACGTAAAGTACCTCAGACTGCAGATTGTGTGCGACAGGCTGGCGAGGAAGCTATGGCTGCACCAGCAGTCGTACGTCGACAAGCTGCACAGGAGCTTTATCGTCGAGGAGCAGACCGAGCGCATCATGAAGACGCCGGTCTCCATCAACGTCTACGTAGAGCTCACGTTCGACGAGGAGGAGGCTCAGGAGTACTGGCAGAAGGTCGGCTCGCTGCAGTTCGCGGCAACGACGACGAGGCCGGACATCGCCTTTGCCTGCAGCAAGCTGGGGAGCGGCCTCACAGTGAGGAGCGACCAGCATTGGCGCGAGGTCGACCGCTGCCTCGCCTACCTCGCCGACACCCGCGACACCGCCTTGGAGTTCGGCGGTGGACCAGAGTCATTGTGTCTGCACCACTCCAGCTCTGTAGAAAGGCGGCTTGCCAACACAATTGTGAAACTATATTTTCTACCTATGTTAGTTTCTGTAGGCTAGACACGATTAGACCTTTGGGAGTACGACATTTGTGATTGTGTTCACTGTACCCAACTCCCTAATGCTATTTATGTCTCGACATAGTGTCAATCTAGCTCGTTTCAAAGTTCGGACACCAAGCGAAGTTCGGTCACCAATGACTCTTGCACCTTCTTACCCTGCAGCATTTGGCCCGAACGGTTTTGAACACTCTTACCCTAAAAAAATCACCTTCCAAATACAGATGGCTGAACCAGAAAATTCTGAAGATTCACGCGAGCATTGTTTCAAAACACAGGTCAGATGGTTTCGTCCCCACCCCAGTGATGTTGGTCAACGTTACTAAGTCGTGTATTTCATTCAACAAAAAAAAAACAATTGCCCAATCACACCTGTTTCACAAAGGCGGAAGAAACCCGAAGTATACCCCTCTAAGCATAGAAAAAAGGGTTGCCCTCGCTGGTGACTGAGCTTCGCTTGGTGTCCGGACTTCTAAACGAGATCTTATGTTAGGTCTCGCTTCCGCTTGCTCCTAGGCAAAGCCATTCATTTCTTAAGTCCCTAGCCTAGCCCCGCTCCTAGCCAACTCTCACTAGTCTCTCGCAGTTGCCTAGTGTGCCCCACTGCCACGTCGCCTAGTGCGCCCTGATACCCCATGAGCTTCGCTTGGTGTCTGGACTTCTAAACGAGATCTTATGTTAGGTCTCGCTTCCGCTTGCTCCTAGGCAAAGCCATTCATTTCTTAAGTCCCTAGCCTAGCCCCGCTCCTAGCCAAATCTCACTAGTCTCTCGCAGTTGCCTAGTGTGCCCCACTGCCACGTCGCCTAGTGCGCCCTGATACCCCATCGCGTTGTGCGCTTTGCTGCCCCGTCGCCCAGCTTGCCCTGCTGCAACGCGCGCCTTGCTGCCCCGTCGCCTAGCACGCTCTGCAGAGAGTCACTCTACACCGGGAGCTGGACTACAGGGAAGGCACGGGTTCTAGGAGTGATCGTATCGTTCCTTAGTCGTTTGCTTATGTTCTTTCTACGCACATATTCACGGGAGGAATGAGCAAGAGTTTCACTTGCAAAAGTTGCATTACAAAATAAGAGCAACAACAATGGCCAACCTGACTACATCTGAAGCAAGTCAGCATAACATGCATGGAGGTCGACTTCCAGCGCAGCAAGGTCGACCACGTTCCAGAGCTGCAAAGTCTGCACCACTCCAGCTCTGTAGAAAGGCGGCTTGCCAACACTGCAAGTCAACGTGCCAACGCTGCAGCAAAGCGGCTATCCAGAGATGCTTGCCCTAGCCCTTTGGAATCTCTAGTGCCGCAGCCCTTACGAGGTGCTCTTCCCACGAAAGAAGGCCTTGATGCGGTTTTTGGCACTCCTCTCCCCAGATGCTCTCCGCTCCCCAAGTGGTTGCCTTGATTCTGAAGATTGACTCTCTCCCGACTGCCGCCTCTCATCGCTCTCGTTTGATGACCTTATTATAGGTGATGATGCCTTGCTACTGCTACTGCTGCCGCTGCCCCTTGTCCCTTCCTGCCTCTGCACTCCCTTCTCTGTTCCTCCCTCCTGCCTCCCTCTCTCTCTTGGCTCATAATCCTTGCTGGTCTGTGTTTGCTGTTGGTGCTGGTGCCCCTGCACCCGCACTCCACTCTGCCCCTTGCCATGCATGTGACTCCCAGCAATAGCACCCTGCGTAAGGTTCCTTTGCAGTCCCCTATGCTGGCCCTCCACCTCTCTAACTCCCGACTCTGACACCTGGCGATTATCACCCATGCCTGCCACGTCAGTAACTTCTGACAAGCCAGCTGGGACGGAGCAGCTGGCCCGCACCATGGGGCTGGCGAGAGTGGGGTCTGCCAGGAGGAACTCAAGAACGGTGCAGGCATACTCATCCGGCATCTCATCCACCACGTCCCGGCCTGCTGGCCCCAGCTCCACGTACTCCCCGTTCTTGCACAGCAGGGCGGCCTTTCTTGTCTCCTTCTGCATGGGCTCCCTCTCCCCTGCCATGCAGAGCACTGGCAGGTCAATCCGCTTGAGCAGGTCCGCGTGATCTGTGACGGCCATGGCCCGAGTCAGCCATGGGCGTCTCTCATACGTCTGCAGCATGTCGATGACTGTGCGCACCTTCAGCTGCCATGGCACATCCACACCCGCACCACCAACTTGTTGTTCCGGGAATCGTGTGGTTATGAATGCCTCGATGGCAGCTGGGAGGTCAGCTTGGTAATCCGCGTCAGGGCTCTCCTCCCTGAGCACGTCCCCGCGCCCCATGAAGCCGAGCAAGGGTATGCCCCACAGGGCAATGCGGCGTACTATGTGTGGCAGCTCCGCTGCTATGTGCAGGGCCACTGTCGCACCCACCTGATGCCCACCTTACAGAGGGCGGAGGGAAAACACTGATTAATTAATTTGGTAGGCGAGGATAAGGAACTCGGGGCGAGGCGTGGCAGGGAATGGACAATATGGGGAGCTGATGGGTGATTGGAGTGAGGGTGGTGGGACAGGATACACTGAGGAGCTGAGGTAGGGGAAGGGAGATGGAAGCGAGGGATTGAGAGCAGGGCAGGGAGAAGGAAAATGGAAAAGAAGGGAAGAGCAGGGAATTGAGGGTTGCGAGGGGAATCAAGGAAGACAGATGAAAGAGGGGGAAAAGTGGGGAAACTGGGGGAAAATGGAAGAGAGGAAGTGAGATTGGAAAGGTGCAGAATCGGATGAGTGGCTAGTGGGATACACTATAGGAGGCGAATGTGTCAGGCTATAAGTGTTATGGTGCGAGTATATATGTGCATACGTGCAAAGTACATGAGATAGGGATGGGGTGCTGGGTGGAGGGGGAGAGGGAGGAAGCAGAGTGAAAAGGGAGGGAGGGGTGGATGGAAGGTAAAAATGGATAGAAAGATCTTTTCACGTATGCATCCATATCAAAACAGCGTTGTAACCGCCATTCAACCGCTGCCCTTTTCCTCCATCTTCCCTCCCTTCCTTCCTTCATACCTTTGCTTCTTTATCTCTCTCCTGCCTTTCCAAATCACTTTCCCTGGCCAATCCTTTCCCCCTCATATTGCCTACCGAGTCCATCCTTTTCCCCCCATGACGTCACACTCTCCATGGGTTTCCCTTCACCGTCCTTCCCTCATTCCCTCTCTACCTCTCCGGTGACCAACTTCAGTTGCTGATATTTCTCTCTCCCTACCCTATCTAAGCCCCATGCCTACCTCCCACTGTGCCTCTAATCTCTCGCTCCCTCCCCATCCCTCCAATACACCTTCTTGCACGACCCTACGCTCCTTCCATTCTTCCCGCTTAAAAAAAAAAAAAAAAAAAAAAAAAAAAAAGATCCTCCAATCGTTTTCTCCATCCTACTTTCCTTCCTCCCTCAAGCCCTCCCTAATCCATATTTCTCCATTCTCCCCAGCTGTTCCTCCATCTACCTGTCTTCATTAAGCATCAGATGTATGTGCGATATCCTGATGTAAGTGCGCGATCAATATCACGTCTCACCTATCACTGATCAGATCATCCATCGACGACGTCTCACACTCACAATATCAAATGGCGGCGCGAAGTGCAACCCGTGGGCAGCTTGGAGCACGAGGTTCGCCACGTCAACCATGGTGAGTTCGCCGTCTGGGAGCTGAGTGGCTTGCGAGGCATCAGCGTATCCTGACGTGGCGCGGCACGACTCCCCGCTGTTGGGCAGATCCAGAGCAACGGCGTGGAGGCCAGCAGCAGCAAACCTCTTGAGTGCAGCCGTGAACATGGCAGAGGATTGGCCGGCAGAGTGCAGCAGCAGGATGGACGGCGTTCCTTGGCCGCATCTGCAAGCAGGCATACAAGCAATGGTTGAAAAACACAGAGGTGAGAATCTGGAATTTTGTAACTAATGATGGAAAACAAGTTCTGCCATGGTGTAGGAGCTAAAATGCATCACTGACACAGTGGAAAAAAAGGGGGTAGGCCGAAGGATGGTTGGTTAGCGGTTGCTTGTCAGTTTGTTTGTTTGTTCGCTTGCCTGCTTGTTAGCTTGTCTAATCCTTGCCTTTAACTTGCATGCTTGTATCTTGCTGCTGTATCAATACAAGGACCATTAGAGAGAGAGAGAGAGAGAGAGAGAGAGAGAGAGAGAGAGAGAGAGAGAGAGAGAGAGAGAGAGAGAGAGAGAGCGGGGGGGGAAGAGAGAGAGAGAGAGAGAGAGAGAGAGAGAGAGAGAGAGAGAGAGAGAGAGAGAGAGAGAGAGGAGAGAGAGAGAGAGAGAGAGAGAGAGAGAGAGAGAGAGAGAGAGAGACATGTTCCAGGTGCCTTCTTCTTCTTCCGTGCATGTCTGTACTTTTCTGGTTGCTAATACAAGGACCGCTTGAGAGAGAAAGAGAAAGAGAGAGAGCCTCTAGGGGGGGGGGGAGGGGGGGGGGATCATGCCGGAAAAGAGATCCGAATCTCGTCGAAAAATGTGCACGGAACTCTTTGATAATGAGAAACATGGCATACAAGTAAGGTCGTGAATGTTTATCAGAACTCATTGTTTTGTGCCTTACAGGCTAGTAGCCTTACCTTCGATAGTGGATTTGCCCAGCCTCAGTGTCTACATATCCCTTCTTCTCAAAAACCATAGCTGCCATAGCTTCCAACTTGGAATGTTAGGTTCTTCGTCTCAAGGATTGCCTTTGATGAGTCTAGAGGCTGCTCAAAACATTTGGTTATATGTGCCTGTGTGTAACCAGTTTATCACATTGGATGCTCTGCTTGCCAGATAGAAGCACAACAGATCAGAACAGGTGCCTGTTGAAGAAACGGTAGCAGAAGGGTTTTGTGCGATGCAGTACGTTACAGAAAGAAAAACTTCAGTTTAGGTTCACCACCGATTTGCCAGCACAAAATCTACACCGTAGACTGCTTCCCTTAGCGACGTAACGAACTTCTCGCACGAAACGGAAAAGGAGAAGTGCAATTCGTGGCGGGCGCTGCACCACTATTTTGGCGGTGGGCTGGTGCGAGCTCAACCGATCGATTGCAAGCGCTCATAATGAGCAGCTGTTCATCATCATTCGTGTCATCTTTTCGACCACCATTCATAGGTGCCCGTTACGATGTGGTGCACCGCCGCGACGGTCCGATGTGAAGGGCAGGTTCTGGCACAATCGACAAACGCTACTAAGCACACGGAAGAATGATGTCACAATGTCGTTTTCTTGATTGCCAAATGGTGCTCTCAGCAGAGTTTTCGATGTGTTTTAGGGCTCCCCGCTGAAAACGAGTTGTGCTCAGTCTAGGGTTACTTCAGCGACGCTTTCGGTAGGGTACCCTAAAACACATCAAATCTTTATATTACTTCAATGTCGTGAATGCAGAAAGACTACGCTACAGCGGATGGTTCTAGAAAACCGGTGTTTGATTTTGAGAAACGTTTACTTGCGAACGAAAAAATACTGCGGGACAAATCGTACTGTAATCTCCGTGCCAGGACAAGTTCCAGACTGTTCGTCGTCATCATTTCTTATTAAAGATACACCTAGCCCGCGCCAATTTCACATCCCGTCAGCTTTTTTCAAAACCAAACTGAGCTTTTCTGGCTAAAGCCAAAAAGTTGGCGCGGGCTGTGAAAGTACAGCACTTGTATTGTACTTTTAGGATAAAAATGTACAGCAAGGGTAACCCCTATATCAGCATTGAGTCGATGCTTGTACCATATGCGCCAGCATTTAGGTAGATAAATGTTTAAGTACAGCACTTGTGTTGTACTTTTAGGATAAAAGTGATACAGCAAGGGTAACCCCTATATCAGCATTGAGTCGATACTTGTACCATATGCGCCAGCATTTAGGTAGATAAATGTTTAAATCCAGTAGCTAAAATAGTGCCCCCCCTCCTTCTAGTAGGGTCCAAATGAAAACACAAGTTTCTTTCAAACGTTGCTTATGTGTAAATGTGAATTGTGAGGTGTTTCATAGAAATGTTGCTTATGTGTTTTTAGGTGTACAAATGTCAGGCTAAGTTGGTTGTGCAGTGGAGAGCATATACTCTGATTGGATAACACCAGGCCTTTGACCAGTTCGCATGCAGAGAACCTCTAGGTGCAAGCAACAGCACTCCAGAATGATGAGTACCTGTATGATAACAGTCACCCATCCATCTCACATGCACCTGTTCAGAACTTCATTGGGAGTGAGAAATTTGCAACAATCTCAAGACCGCATCCCTGTTTTCAACAATGGCCATAGGAATCACTTCTGATCTTTCTTATGACTATTTGCAAGCACAGCCCCTCTGCTGGGCAAGAAATACGCTCTTCCATCCATCCATGTCCAGCCTCGTGGTGAATCATTTTATCCGCACCACGTGCGAAGGCATGCTGACTGTTGATGCAGCACACCATCACCAGCCAGCCCACGCCTCTACACTCTAACCACTGCCCAATACCCACCACCCACCACCCACTGCCCACCACACCCTCTTCATCCTGTCACCAGTGCTGCCCGCTACCCTCATGTCATGTGCAGGCGGCAGGCCTATTGCTGGGAGCAGCAGAAATTTGCGTGCAGCATAGCTTGCGGCCGCAAATCAGGGAATACAACTCCCTCCATCTACCCTTTTATGAAACCTCTTACCCTCCATCTACCCTCGTATGAAACCTCTTACCCTCCATCTACCCTCGTATGAAACCTCTTACCCTACATCTACCCTCGTATGAAACCTCTTACCCTCCATCTTCCGTCCTATGAGACCAATTACCTCCATCTACCCCCCTGCAAAACCTCTTACCCGCCATCTACCCTCGTCGCATGCGCATGCCTGTAGCAAGGTGGTGCAGCACTTGGGCATGCAGCACACCATTGGTGGCCACCACTCCCCCTCCATGCGGACTGAAATACGCCAAACCGCCATCGATGCCGCTGCTTCCATCTTTGCCTCCTCCTTCGTGTGCATGTGCTGTTGCCGCTCGTCCCGCTTCCTGATCATCCTGCCCCACCTCCCCACCGAGTTCAAGCGATTGCCCTGCAAAGTCGGTTACCTGATGGCAAGGTCGAGAGTGAGGGGGAAGGGATGGGAGGAGCAGCGACGGGCAGAGAGGGGCGGCAGAGACGGGAGGGGCAGGGAGGGGCGCAGTGAGGGGAGAGGCATGAAAGGGAGGGACTGAAATGGGAAGAGTGGAATAGAGATATCCAAAGTGAACCATCAGTGTGAGTGTGCAGTCGGTGCTGGCGACTGAGAACAGCACACAAGACACACGTGGCGAGTGGCAGAAGGGAGCACAGTGTGGCGAGTGGCAGAAGGGAGCACAGTGTGGCGAGTGGCAGAAGGGAGCACAGTGTGGCGAGTGGCAGAAGGGAGCACAGTGTGGCGAGTGGCAAGAGGGAGCAGGTCACACCTGTCCGCCTGCCTCGGTGACGCAGAGCACGCCAGCAGCGTGGTCCCACACCTTGAGGTGCGGGCTGCCTGGCAGTGGGTGCTGGATGAACACCGCCGCATAGCCCAGCGCCAATGCCGCATACTTGCACAGACTGGCAGGGGGAGAGGGGGGGCCACGAGAGGGGGGGCCACGAGTGGAAACATAGTTGCTTCACGCATGCTGCTGCAGCTGCATAGCACAACGCCCCTGCCCATATTTGCATAGACTGCATGGGGGCAGAGGGAGAGAGGCACAGGAGGGAGAGAGGCACAGGAGGGAGAGAGGCACAGGAGGGAGAGAGGCACAGGAGGGAGAGAGGCACAGGAGGGAAGATGCGTTGACATGCCTTACAGCAAGTACGGCAGTTTTGTTGCTGCAACCACGTTTTTGACGCCTAATCCAGTGTGCACTTGGAAATGGTGCATGACGAAGGGAAATGGAAAGAAAAGAGTCAAGTTAATTCAACATCCACCTGCCGATATTAGCCAGAGCCTTTTTCCTACACTCTGCCCTCCTCTCCTCCCTCCACTCTCGTTCTCTTCCCTCTGTCTGTCTCCTCTCTCTCCAATCCGGTCCCCTTCCCTCTTCCCTCCTCTCCTCCCTCCACCTCTATTCTCTTCCCTCTGCCCCTCTCTCCTCTCTCCACTCTCGATCGCATCCCTCTGTGAGCAAGAAGTACTTCTGTGATGATATCAGTAGTGGAAGAGAGAAATATGACCGCAGTGGAATTTCTCGCTGACAGACGGAAGGGAACGAAAGTGAGGAGAGCAGACTAGAAAAAAGGGAACGTGATTAGAGGGAGGAGAGGAGAGGGCGGGGAGAGAACGAGAGTGGGGGGAGGTTGTGAGGCCAAAGGAAAGGGAAGGAAAGTGGAGGGAGGGGAACTGGGCAAAGAAAGGCAATGAGGGAGGAGGTAACAGAGGAGGACAGAAGGAAAGGAACGTGGGCAGAGAGAAGACAGGGGGAAGGGAAGAAGAGTGCTTGAAGGAGAGGAGAGCGGAGAGAACGGAAAGAGAGTGAAGGGAGGAGAGGAGGACAGAAGACAAGAAAAGAGAGTGGATGGAGGAGAGGACAGCACCCACCTGCCACAGCAGAGCGGCAGCACGGTGACATGCGAGGCGTGTGGAGCGGCGGCTTCCAAGCCCCTCGCGAGGGGCAGCGACGGCCACTGCTCGTGGTCCGATATGCACACACACAGCCTCCTGCTGCTGCTGCTGTTGCTGCTGCTGGTGGTGATGGCAGCAGTGGTGCTGTGGGCGCCATGTGCTGCTGGCACGGCACCAGTGCTGATGCTGCTGTGGCTGTGGCTGGTGGGACCATGGGTGGCATGGCGGCTGCTGCTCTCATCCCATGCACTGGCATTCCAGGGGGTGGCATCCCAGGGGGTGCCGGGGAGCGGGTGAGTCTGGTCGGCGCTGTGCTGGTGGGTGGTGGCGGCTGCCAGCATGTTGCGCACCCCCACGTCCACGTGGACCCGCTCATACGCCCACTCTGCATCCCCTCTCGCGCTGCTCCTGCTGCTTGGGGTGCTGCTGTGCATGCTGCTTGTATGTAATCGCCGCATCCATGCCCCTCCTCCCTTGGTAGCTGCTAGGACCAATCCACGTGGCCTCTGCCACATGTCATCTTCTGAATCGCCCTCCACATCACCCTCACCAGCTCCCGCATACCCCGCAACGGCAGCAGCATGGTTCGATTGAGTGGGTGATGAGGTGCCACGTGGCAGGGGCATGTTGGGGAGGCCAAGGGCTGAGAGGACGAGCTCTCCATCCTCGATAAGCGCCAAGCCCACCTGAGGGAGAGCGGAGGGGAGAGATGAGCATTGACTTGACTGAAGACACATAACATGTGGACAGGCTTAGAAGGTAACTCGGAATGAGAATGAGGGAAGCAAAGGATGAGAGCAGGAAATAGGCATGAGTGGGAGCACACGATGCATGGCATGCAGTGCATCTCATGATGCATGGCTCGACGTAGGCTTCTGGATACTATGTCACAAGATACTATGTCCATGCGAATTGTCCATACAATAAGAGAAACGGATGGAAGAGAACAGTGGTACGCAGGTATGGGGGGCAGCTCACCGCGTACTGGCTGTGGTTGCCCCTGAGAAAACCCCGCGTGCCATCAACGGGGTCCAGCACCTGTGGTGTGCGACATGGGGGCATGCGACATGGGGGCATGCGACATGGGGGCATGCGACATGGCAGCATGCGACATGGCAGCACGAGCAGTGAGGGTGTTTTTGAGACGTCTCAAAAGACATGGCAGCATGCGACATGGCAGCACGAGTCGTAACAGCATGAGACAACACAGCATGAGGGCCGAAGCAAGCATGCAGGATAAGGTAGAGGAACAAAATGGGACGTAGCAGTAGAGAGGAAAAGAAGGAAAAATACGAAGAAAAACGAAATGGACAGGTTGCAGACAATACAAGAGGAGGGGGAGAGGAGAGGAGGGGAAGTGTGTGGGGGGGGAGGGCTGGGGAGGTCCGGGGTGTGGAGGAAGATGTGAGAGATGTGAGAGATGTGAGAGATGGGAGAGATGGGAGAAAGAGGGAGGGAGCCGAGTCAAACCTACCCAGTATCGTTGGTGTCTGGGGGCAGCACCAGCGGCAGCATGCACGTCGTGGGTGGCACCAGCGGTGGCATCAATGGCTGCCAGCACCGCCTCCACTGCTGCCGCCCGCCCCTCCCTCCCCTCCACAGCACCTGCCTCTGCTCCTGCCAGGGCCAGGGCGTGTGGCGAGGCGAAGCGGAAAACGAGATCCGTGACCCTCTCCGCCAGGGATGGCCCCTGCTCCCCGCCCCCTGCTGCCCTGGCTGCTACGCTACTAGCTGCACCAGCTGCTGCTGCTGCAGTGGCTGAACCCACAGCAGCGCCAGCACCTGCCTGTGCTGCTGGTGGCGAAGGCGAGGGGGCAGGGGGGGCAGCGAGGTGGGCGCGCAGCAGAGAAGCGTCCTCCTCGCCCAGCAGGGGCACGCCGGGGAACTGGTGGGCCAGCTCTGAGCATGATGGACAGTGGGGGTGGGGGATATGGTGGTGCTCGCCGCGTTGTTGGTTGCTGGAAGGTAACATTCAGGGACTTGACACGGGAAAAGGGAGTGATGGCTATTGCAGCGACATTCCAAGCGTGACTGAAGCAATAAACGGAGCATGGAGTAAAGGCGGAGGGATGGAGAGGAGGAGTCAGGCGGAGGGGCAGAAGAGAAGCACAATGAGGTGCGTGCAACAAGTGCAGCCCAGGCTACTGGCACATGCAGGCCGCGAGGGAAACATTGCCCACCGAGAGCAGCTAGGGCCTGCACCCACCGAGAGCAGCGAGCGCCTGCACGGCGAAGTCAGCAACAGTGACGGGCGAGCGGTCCTTCTTGTCCACCCTGCTGCTGCCGCCCTCGCTCTCACTGCCGCTGCTGTACCCCCCCTGCTCCTCCGCTCCCATCTGCTCCCTCACCTGCAGGGATCGAGGGGGGGGAAGAGCATGCGAGAACACGGGTGAGAATGGGTACGCGCATGGTGAAGGTGACAATGTGCTTTTGCGGCGGGTGAGAAGGATGGAACAGCAAGAAAAGGAAGGTGGGTGTTGTTGAGGGGGGGAGGTGGGGGGGGTGTGTGAGGGTAGGGATGCGAAAGGGACGAGGCGAGAGGATAGTACGGGAGGAGGAGAGAGTGGGGAAGCAATTATACTCACAGCGAGGCACACGTGGCATGCCCTCTCTACCACATCCACTGCTGCTGCCAGCTCAGCAGCGAACTCCGGCTTGCAAATACCGCTGACATCAGCTGCCACGTCAGATGCTGTAATGGCATTTCCCGAAGCTGCTGCATGAGAAGAAACGGAGAAAGTTCCCAAAGGGGAGCGATGGGGGCTGGCAGGAGGGAGAGTGGGGTTTTCAGGAAGGAGAGGGAGACGACGCGGAGGGAAAATGCAAATAAGAAAAACGTGTGATGTGATGTAAGGTGATTCTGAATTTGAGAGAAATGGCAGCAGCGACACCACAAATTCGAAGGGAATCACATCATCTGGCCCCAAGGCGCCTTGCTCATAACTACCAGTCCGGCAGCCAACACAGCTGTTATCGTCTCGTCTCGTCGCCACACACTGTAGTCCTGCGCCAACGAGGAATTTGGAAGGGAGCAACGAAGGGCCAGAAACGAAGCATGCTTATAAAGGGGAAGAAATGTACCTCGGCGCGTTCACACTGCCGGAAAACGAGCGTCTGTGACCCGCGACGCTGACTCCTGGGCTCGCGGGATTTGACGCGGCACGGAGAGCACCCACGTGGCCAACAGGCGATCGTCTAGCTGAAAAGGCGGAACCAATCTGCGGGAACGAATGCACTTGCTCTTGACACAGGCGTGCGCGCAGCATGCGCGGAGTATGGCGCGGCTCAGCAAGAGGCGTGAGGAACGGCGTCTGGAGAGATTGCGCCATGGCGATGTGGTTGCTTGGTGAGAGAATCAACAAGCGGAAATGTAATGAAATTCGTCCCATACTCCCTGCAAAACAGCGGCTCAGGATTCCACCACGGATGTCTCAAATAGGGGCTATGTTGAATTGAAACACGACCAAGGTGTAGTGTAGTTCAAGGGTGGTGTTGTGCGATTGCGAGGCGGACATGCTCGAATAACGAGGTTACACGGCCTCGCTAGGTCGAGACTTCCCACATTGGCGGAATTGTGCTGTACGCCAATCGCCAAATTCGTTAGTGTAGATACAGTGGGACCTTGGGCAATTTCGCCCTCATACTTTATAGAAACAGCAATCAATAACAGCAGGCTTGTGGTCTCAAACCCTGGGACTACAGTATGCAATGCAGAGCGTTTAACATGCAGTGAGCATGTGATGCTGTCACTTGCAGCATCGCTTAAAGCCACACGAGAATGTCAGAGCAAGCATTGTACGAGCGTTTTGCAGCAAGTCAACACAGATGAGAGCAAGTAGGAGAGTGCTTGTTGCGCCTCCAAGGCAGCGGAAACTGTAACAACCCGTTAACATTGTCACACACGAAATTAACGGCAAGCGAGGGGTGAGGAAGGCAGGTTGAGTGCAGGTGAGGGGACATGTGCAGTGGTGCATGTGCAGTGGTGCATGTGCAGTGGTGCATGTGCAGTGGTGCATGTGCAGTGGTGCATGTGCAGTGGTGCATGTGCAGTGGTGCATGTGCAGTGGTGCATGTGCAGTGGTGCATGTGCAGTGGTGCATGTGCAGTGGTGCATGTGCAGTGGTGAGTGCATGCACGCGCACTGCAGGACCCCCCACGTGCGTCAGTCCATCTCAAGCTGCCCCCCCCCCCCCCCCCCCCCCCCAGCGACACGCATGAGGAGCCCGTTGGAGGGCTGCTGAGGCGAGGGGACAGGAAGGCAGGGGAGGGCAGGTGAGGGAATGGGAGAGCACGGGAGGGACGGCGAGGGCAGACGGATTGCAAAAAGGAGAAATGCAAGACCTTGGCATCACTGCATTCAGAAAGAAGACCCTGTGAAATCACACGAACACTAACCCCCTGCACATGTGCCTGCGCTCACAGTACCACCATACCCCTTAAAGTCACACACATGTTGAGGTGGCTTCCACGTTGAGGCAGCACGCACCTTGAGGTGGCTCCCCGAGTGCCCCTCCTCGGCCCGACAGCGGGCTGCTTCTAGTTGAAGCCGTGCTGCACCCTGGTCGTGAAAGAGACTCACCTGCACGGTCTTCCCCCCGCTGCCCGCATCTGGTACGGTAGGTGCATGGTGGCAGTGAGCGGGGGGCAGGCGGGCAAAGGTTGAAGGGGAAAGAAGGAGGGGTTGGGGGAAAGACTGGCCGGGATGACCCGCAAGGTGTTGTGGCTGTTGCGCGCATGTGGTGGGCCCACCAGCAAGCTGACCGCGGGGCTCCCCCAACTGATCCCCACCCCTTCAACTCTCCATGCTCCCCCCAACTGATCCCCAAGAACGTCTCGCCATTCCTGCTCACCTTGTTCCGACAGTGGGTGATGGAGGGTGACGCCGTGGGTGGATTCGATGAGAGTGCAGGTGAGGAGGAGAGTAGGGAGAGTGGACGGAGAGGGGCAAAGCTTGAGTGAAGTCGCACGCACCCCACGTCAGTGCATGCCAACTTGCTGGGTACTGAGAGTAGTTGAAAACGGAAGGGGGAAGGGGCGGGAGAGGGGGGAAAGCGGGAAGAAGGGGGAGTGATAAAAAAATGGAAGAGAGCAGGTGAAAGGATGGAGTGATGGAGGGTGAGAGGTGGGAGGAAGCGCATGGCGCTGATGCTGGTGGTCACATGCATGGCACATGGCAGGCACGCATGTTGTCAGGCTGTGCATGGCAGGCATGAAAGCAGGCAGAGAAACAGAAAAGGAGGTATGAAGGCAGAGTGACAGAAAGAACGGCCCACATGGAAAAAAAGATGACAGTTCAGGTAGTGAAGTAAGCATGTGAGCGGGTGGCAGCATGTAAGAACGTGAGATAATTTGAGAGAATGCAGCAGAATGTGCGACGAATGCAAGAAATGCGTTAAGGCTCGCCAGCTCCTCATGGCCCCCCATGATGGATGACCATGCTCATGGCCCACCCCTGATGCACCACTCCATCAGCTCTGCCGCGAGCGCGCCGTGCAACACAGGAAGGCGAAGCATGAAGCATGAAGCATGAAGCATGATTGGAGGCACTCTCCAGACATAGCAAGCAGCACCACCTCGACTTTGTTCATCTGACCCCTGCCCTCCCCTTCACTTTTACTTCACCTGCCTCCCTTGCACAACACCTCCCTTGGCCCCTCTTCTCCTTCTCCTGCTCCTCACCTCTCCTGCTTCTCTTGTTTGAAGATTCTCTTGACGGGCTGATCTCCTGCCGCCCTACACAGGCTCTGATAGGAGAAGTGGAGAGGGGAGGGGAGGAGGACCGAAAAGGGGAGGCAAGGGGAGGGGAGGGAACGGGAGGGCAGCGGAGGGAAGAGGAAGACATGGGAGGGCAGGGCACAGGGGGATTGCAAAAGTGGAGAGATGTACGGCGGTGGTGCCATAGCTTAGAACAAAAGAAAGAAAACGGGGGAAGGAGAGAGGGAAATGAGCGAGAGAAAGGGGAGGGAAGAGGAGGGGGGAGAGGGGGTTGGCACAGTAACGCGGTTGATGTGCGTGGGGTGCGAATGATGCGAGGAAGAGGGTGCGGATGATGCGAGGAAGAGGGTGCTGATGATGCGAGGAAGAGGGTGCGGATGATGCGAGGAAGAGGGTGCGGATGATGCGAGGAAGAGGGTGCGGATGATGCGAGGAAGAGGGTGCGGATGATGCGAGGAAGAGGGTGCGGATGATGCGAGGAAGAGGGTGCGGATGATGCGAGGAAGAGGGTGCGGATGATGCGAGGAAGAGGGTGCGGATGATGCGAGGAAGAGGGTGCGGATGATGCGAGGAAGAGGGTGCGGATGATGCGAGGAAGAGGGTGCGGATGATGCGAGGAAGAGGGTGCGGATGATGCGAGGAAGAGGGTGCGGATGATGCGAGGAAGAGGGTGCGGATGATGCGAGGAAGAGGGTGCGGATGATGCGAGGAAGAGGGTGCGGATGATGCGAGGAAGAGGGTGCGGATGATGCGAGGAAGAGGGTGCGGATGATGCGAGGAAGAGGGTGCGGATGATGCGAGGAAGAGGGTGCGGATGATGCGAGGAAGAGGGTGCGGATGATGCGAGGAAGAGGGTGCGGATGATGCGAGGAAGAGGGTGCGGATGATGCGAGGAAGAGGGTGCGGATGATGCGAGGAAGAGGGTGCGGATGATGCGAGGAAGAGGGTGCGGATGATGCGAGGAAGAGGGTGCGGATGATGCGAGGAAGAGGGTGCGGATGATGCGAGGAAGAGGGTGCGGATGATGCGAGGAAGAGGGTGCGGATGATGCGAGGAAGAGGGTGCGGATGATGCGAGGAAGAGGGTGCGGATGATGCGAGGAAGAGGGTGCGGATGATGCGAGGAAGAGGGTGCGGATGATGCGAGGAAGAGGGTGCGGATGATGCGAGGAAGAGGGTGCGGATGATGCGAGGAAGAGGGTGCGGATGATGCGAGGAAGAGGGTGCGGATGATGCGAGGAAGAGGGTGCGGATGATGCGAGGAAGAGGGTGCGGATGATGCGAGGAAGAGGGTGCGGATGATGCGAGGAAGAGGGTGCGGATGATGCGAGGAAGAGGGTGCGGATGATGCGAGGAAGAGGGTGCGGATGATGCGAGGAAGAGGGTGCGGATGATGCGAGGAAGAGGGTGCGGATGATGCGAGGAAGAGGGTGCGGATGATGCGAGGAAGAGGGTGCGGATGATGCGAGGAAGAGGGTGCGGATGATGCGAGGAAGAGGGTGCGGATGATGCGAGGAAGAGGGTGCGGATGATGCGAGGAAGAGGGTGCGGATGATGCGAGGAAGAGGGTGCGGATGATGCGAGGAAGAGGGTGCGGATGATGCGAGGAAGAGGGTGCGGATGATGCGAGGAAGAGGGTGCGGATGATGCGAGGAAGAGGGTGCGGATGATGCGAGGAAGAGGGTGCGGATGATGCGAGGAAGAGGGTGCGGATGATGCGAGGAAGAGGGTGCGGATGATGCGAGGAAGAGGGTGCGGATGATGCGAGGAAGAGGGTGCGGATGATGCGAGGAAGAGGGTGCGGATGATGCGAGGAAGAGGGTGCGGATGATGCGAGGAAGAGGGTGCGGATGATGCGAGGAAGAGGGTGCGGATGATGCGAGGAAGAGGGTGCGGATGATGCGAGGAAGAGGGTGCGGATGATGCGAGGAAGAGGGTGCGGATGATGCGAGGAAGAGGGTGCGGATGATGCGAGGAAGAGGGTGCGGATGATGCGAGGAAGAGGGTGCGGATGATGCGAGGAAGAGGGTGCGGATGAAGGAAGAGCATCGCGAAAAAGGACTTTCAGAAAGCTGCGGGAAAGTTGCAAAAAGGATACTGCCAGGATACCTTGGTTTTGCAACTTTCCAGTGATGGTCAAATGTTGCAGAAATCGTGGTTGCGGGAAAGTTGCGGAAAAGTTGCATTCCTGCAACTTTCCCGCAACACAACCGCAACTTATCGGACAATCTTTGGACACGTTGCGTATACATTTCAGTCACATGTATGCAGTTTCACCACCTGCCACATGGCATGCGTACAGTTTCGACTTTGAAGTGTACGTACGCTAGTACGTTCGCCAAGATATTTTGCCACGTAAGCAAAGATATTTCTGCCAGGTGTCATTTTCGATATGTGAATGGCAGCTTGCCATGTGGACCAATCAAACAAGCTGTATGTTCGTGCGGAAATTGAATATTACAGGCCGTCGTTTTGCCTAGAAGCGGTGTATGCGGTTTATGGGCTATTTGTTACAGGTTTTGTAGGTACACTATCTATATTATCTTGCACATTAGCATACATAGTCAGCACTATACACAGTGCCCAATCTAGCCGGAATACCTGCACCGCTAAACCATTGCTACATAGCTTCTGGTCACGAGACGAACTTACGCTATTTTAAAAGCCTGCAAACAGGAATACGACAGAGTGTCAAAACTTGGTTAGTAGTATGCTTGTTCCCTACCTCACTGACTTACCACCCGAAGGCCTTGCATTGTACTCAGAAAGTTGTCGAAAATGTGACTGAGAACGACTGAGTCTTGATGGTACCCCTGCAAAAAAAAAAATAAAACAAAAAAAAAAATTACATGTCGGGACTGCCACTGACCCTGCAAGTGTCTTGGTACCACAAACACACGATGACTAAGAGAAAAAGACATCTCGACGTTAGAGTTAGAGGCTGGATTACATATACGCGAAACGAGCATGGTGAAGAAGCCATGACGATTTAACTGAGCTGCAAGCGGTGGCAAAGAGAGACCTTCAAGAAGCTGCCGCACCCTCCGGCGCTTCTGGCGCTGAAGACGGCGCATCCGCCACGATCGGCGGGACGAAGGTCCTCGACAATGCACAGCGCGTGGCGACAATCTGTGTATTGGACACCTGAACAGAAAAACAACAACGTAACTGATCTGGCAGAGGCGGGCAACTAAAAATACGGATTATTAAACAACTATTATAGATCTGCAATCATTTCGGGAAGAAATGAACCACATTGAGAAGAGAAGAAGCCAAACCCGTCAGAATGGATGAAAGAGTGACGATAAGAACGGGAGTGATGAGCATCAGATGAACCCGTCAGTATGCTTTCAAATTTCAGTACGCGGGATGTGTAGGTGAACGTGATTACAGGACACACCGGCGCTTTGCGCGTAGAACACGGCGCTTTCGCTGCCGGGCAACGGTCTTTTCGTCACTGCGTCCGTAGGTAGATGGGTGCTGAGTCCTCGGCGATTCGCGCGCAGAACGCCCTCCGCGTAAAGAGAGCATTGTCGATGAGCTGTATTTGGGACGGGAGGTAGAAAAGGAGGGGACATATGCAGTCTTAGATGTTAGATCTGGACAGATGTTAGCTTGCATTGATACTTCCTACAGTAGTTTACCGGAGCCTGAAGAATAAGACGGACGTTCTACGGTATACGCTAGTTCATGTGTGAGGGGGTATTCAGAGGCACGAGCTGAAGGTTGGACTGGAACAGAAAGCGAAGAACGGTGTGTGAACAAATGAGATAGGCAACGAGCGGTTGTAGGGAGAGATACAAGCGTAGTGTGTGTTTAGGAATGAGAGATGCTTCTAGACCTCCAAAGTGTGATGATGTGTCGTCACGGATACCGTTGATTTCTGGTGTAGGCTAAATCACACCAGTAATTGGTTACTAAACAAGATTCGACGTTTACGTCGGATGGGTTGCGTAGAGTTGTATCCTCGTACAAGAAACATTATGATGGAGAATATTAAAAATTACTGATTTAAATCAAATTTCATTTGGTTAAAATGGGATAAACTTCATAATTCCTAGTTATAAATATAGCAGATATGTGTATTAGGGAACTATTATGTGAATCGCAGAGAACTATTTGGACATTCGATGTTTTCTATGTTTATAATAGACTATATTTTACTATATTGCACTTGCAATTTACTATAGTGGGTATTTACTTGTGCTTTGTTTTTGTCTCTTCCTGTTTCTGCCTGCTTGTTTCTGCTTCGTCAGCATCGAGTGCAAAATTGCGTGGAGGGTTTTCGGAGCGCACTGAACCACGTGGCACTGTCTTGAAGGGTTGCGTAAAGTTGTATCCCTTGTATATAGATACATTATGTTTGAGTACATTATCATTGAATTTTGCTTATAGAAGCAATTATTAAGTTCTTCATTTTTACTTTAAACAGGACAGGCTCGATAGTTCCCTATTATGAATTTCTATAGATGTGGTTTCCCTCAATTTTTTTTTGTCTTATTTAATTATGAATTTGGACATTGATGCTCTTTTTGTGATTTTAATACATGAATTGTTTTCACCAACAACTTCACCAGCAGCAGCTGCAGAGTGGAGGGCAGCAGCCCAATCAGAGCGGAGGGCAGCAGCAGCTGCAGAGCGGAGGGCAGCAGCAGCTGCAGAGCGGAGGGCAGCAGCAGCTGCAGAGTGGAGGGCAGCAGCCCAATCAGAGCGGAGGGCAGCAGCAGCTGCAGAGCGGAGGGCAGCAGCGGCTGCAGAGTGGGGGGCAGCTGCAGCTGCAGTGCGGAGGGCAGCAGCAGCTGCAGAGCGGAGGGCAGCAACAGCTGCAGAGCGGAGGGCAGCAGCAGCTGCAGAGCGGAGGGCAGCAACAGCTGCAGAGCGGAGGGCAGCAGGAGCTGCCCGATGGGGTGCAGCTTGCGAGGCTGCCAGAGGGGGAGATGGAGATGGAGTCGAGCAGACAGGTCTTGCCGGCGTGTTCGAGTGGAGAGGAGCACCCAGACCCTATGCTGACACCCCCGCCCCGCATCCCGTGCGAAACCTGTTATCGCACTTTCACGGAGAGAGGAAAGGCCACGCGTCATATGTCGGCCTGCAGGGCAGCGGACGCCAAGCGCCGTGCACAGGCGCTTGGGTTGACCCGCGACGTCACAGACGACTCGGACAGCGAACCTCCGCCACCACGGGATATCAGTGAAGAGGTGTGGGCCGCAGTTCCCACATGGGACTGGGAGTCGTTTTTCGGGATCGAATTGGTGCCAGGGAGAATCATGCGTCGCATCCCACAGCGCGCAAGACTGGGGGTGCTTGATGCACTAGCTTGTATCCTGAAGCGGCTCAAGTCAAAGGCAGCAGACGAGGCGGCATCCTTGGTGTTTTTGGCCTTCCCTCGTCTTTTCTTGGGGATTCCAACCGGGCAAGGCCAGGGGCAGAGGGCGGCAATTAGGGAGCGGTTGGAGAAGTTTTGGGCTGGGGAGTGGCAGCAGCTGTTTGAGTTGGCGGTGGCGGCGATGCAACCTGCGGCTCGCCCCTTGTCCTTCACCCCACCCGAGCATGATCCTGATGCCGTGCGCCTATCCCGCTGCCGTACAAGGTGCAAAGTGGGAGAATGGAGTCGGGGTTTGGCGTGCCTTACGGCTGGTAGCATCGCTCAGCCCTCTCAGCACATGGTGGACGCGCTACGAGCGAAACACCCATCGTGCGAGTCCGCCATTCCTGGGTGGGTGCAGGAGGAGACAGTCGAGCCTTCCCTTATCCCACAGCTTTCAGTGGAGGTACTCGGCCAGGCGATCCACTCAGCGGCTAGGGCGTCCGCACCAGGACCGTCGGGGTGGGTGACGGAGCACCTGCGCGACACTTTTCTCTCTGAGCCCGCGTATCTGTCCCACCTGCTAGAGGTCTTCACCCAGTGGACCAAGGGAGAGGTAGCGGAGCGCGTGCGACCCTGGCTCACTGCGTCCAACTTGGTGGGCCTGTCGAAGCCGAATGGTGACGTTCGCCCGGTGGCTATAGGCGAGGTGCTCCCCCGCATACTATCTCGGGCCATATGCATCGTGCTTCGCCCGAAGATGATGTCGCACTTTGCTCCGTGTAACCAGTTTGGAGTCGGGTCCAGGTCGGGAGTGGAAGTCCTCGCACATGCCTTTCGCTCCGCCATCTCTACTCACCCGTCGTGGTGTGCGCTGCAAATTGACGTGGCGAACGCTTTCAACTCCTTCCATCGGCGGGAAATGTTTGAGGGTCTTCGACAGTCGCCTTTCAAGGGATTGATTCCATTTCTGCGTGTCTTCTACGGCACTCCTAGCGACCTCTATCTCCGAGCGGGCCCTTTTGTCGAAGCTTTGGCTTCCGAGCGGGGCTCGAGGCAAGGGGATCCATTGGGTCCGTTTCTGTTCGCGTTCACACAGCAGCTGGTTATGGAACCAACCAAAACGGAGTACGCCGACTTACTCTTCCTCAGCTATGCTGACGATACGTATATCCTGGGGCCTAGGGAACGGGTTCTAGCAGCCTATGAGGCCTTGCGGGAACGACTGGACGGGCTGGGTTTGGAGGTGCAGCCGCATAAGTGTAAGCTATGGGAGCGAGGGAGGGACCAGGATGGGGAGGAGAGAAATGAGACTGTCCCGCCCGGCATGCAGCAGACATGGACGGGGCTCACTGTGGTAGGGGTGCCCATTGGGGAGGAGGACTGGGAGGTGGCTAGCCTGCGTCGCCGGCTGACGGAGCTGCATGCACCTGTCCCCTGGCTTCCTCTGCTTGACCACCCACAAATTGCATCCCATTTGTTGGCGATCGCAGTGTCGGCGCGCCCGATCTACCTCACACGGACGATGCCTCCACGACCTGAGGTTGTACCAGATAGTACCTGGGATCACGATTCGGGGAAGTCCCAGATGGCTCGTTTACAGCTGCACCTTCCTGCCAGACTCGGGGGGTTCGGCATTCGATCTGCGGCTGACCTTAGTCCTCTGTCGTATGCATGTGGCTGGTGCCAAGCAGTGAGCGATGTGGCTCGGTTGGGGGTGGCAGGTGAGGAGCGGATGTTTGAGGAGTTTTTCCGCACGCCCGAGGCTACGACCTTGTTGGACCCCTGGTTTGCGAGAGCAGTGGATCTGCTTCCACAGTCGGTTCGGCAGGAGATGCCACCCCTTGCCTTGTGCACCGCTGATCCGCCTATGCTGCTCTTCCCCACACAACACCGTCGCCTGGCGGTTGAGAGCCTCCAATCTCTTCGAGGCATGGCCCACAACGATGCCACCCTGGCCCGTTTGACATCCCTTCAGGGCCCGGGGGCTGGGGCGTGGGTTTCTGCCGTTCCTTCGCACGAGGAGGCTACCTTCACCGCAGCCGAGTGGAGCATCTGCGCGTCCATGCGCCTAGGCCTCCCTATTCAGCAGCTGATAGTGGCCGGCAAGTGCGCGTGTGGGTTTGAGTTTGCTGATCCCTCTGACCCGCATCATGCCCTTCGCTGCAAGTATCAGTATGCACCTTCTCGGGTTCACGATGCGGTTAAATTTGTGGTGGCGAAGATAGCTAAGGGTGCGGGTGGGATTGTGACCATGGAAGACGACACGTTGCTCCCAGGGAAGAGGGTTGATGTGGCGGTTCGGAAACTGAGGGAGGGGGAGGAGCACGCGCTGGAGGTTAGTGTGGTAGATCCTATCTCGCTATCCGCGCAGCACCATGGACAGATTCTCGCCAGTTCTTCTACCACCCAGCCGTCGCTCTCGCTCCCATCCAGCGATATCCTCTCCCTTACTACCTCCCGTCACCTCTCCAACCCGCCTCACAATCACTCCGTCCCATCCACCCCGCCATCTCCTCTCCCTTACCTTCCCGCCGTCGCCTCTCCTCCTCCCCGCCGTCACCTCTCCCTCCTCTCCGCCGTCGCGTCTCCCTCCTCCCCGCCGTCGCCTCTCCCTCCTCCCCGCCGTCGCCTCTCCCTCCTCCCCGCCGTCGCCTCTCCCTCCTCCCCGCCGTCGCCTCTCCCTCCTCCCCGCCGTCGCCTCTCCCTCCTCCCCGCCGTCGCCTCTCCCTCCTCCCCGCCGTCGCCTCTCCCTCCTCCCCGCCGTCGCCTCTCCCTCCTCCCCGCCGTCGCCTCTCCCTCCTCCCCGCCGTCGCCTCTCCCTCCTCCCCGCCGTCGCCTCTCCCTCCTCCCCGCCGTCACGTCTCCCTCCTCCCCGCGGTCGCCTCTCCCTCCTCCCCGCCGTCGCCTCCGGCGGCAGGTGCACGAGCGCAAGCGCGAGTTGGTGCGCGAGGGCGGGTCGGTGCGCGAGCTCGGGTGGGTGCGCGAGCGCGGTTTGGTGCGCGAGCGCGGGTTGGTGCGCCAGCGCGGGTTGATTTCTGAGGCATTGTAATTATCAGGTGCGTTCTCGGTCCTTTAATCCTCCCGCCCCCTTCTGAAATTTCCCCTTGTTTCTTTCTTTTCTGCTCGCCTCATAATTTTTGTTAGGCAATTCGTCTCCTCTTGCATTGCACTTTTATTTGAAGAAGAGGAGCGCGAGGGAGAGCGTGTGCACGGGAGCGCGTGAGAGTGCGCGTGAGAGTGCGCATGCGAGAGTGCGTGCGAGAGCGAGTGAGAGAGCGCGTGAGGGAGCGCGTGAGAGAGCGCGTGAGAGAGCGCGTGAGAGAGCGCGTGAGAGTGCGCGTGAGAGTGCGCGTGAGAGTGCGCGTGAGAGTGCGCGTGAGATGGCGCGAGCGCGTGAGAGAGCGCATGAGAGAGCCCGTGAGAGTGTGTGAGAGAGTGTGCATGAGAGAGCGCGTGAGAGAGAGAATGCGCGAGAGAGTGCGCGAGAGGGAGTGCGACGGAATGCGTGAGAGCCCGTGAGAGAGCGCATGACATGACAGATTGCGTGAGAGAGCATGTGAGAGAGCGCGTGAGAGTGCGCGTGAGAGAGCGCGTGAGAGGGCGAATGAGAGTGCGAGCGAGAGAGCGCGTGAGAGCGCGTGAGAGAGCGTGTGAGGGAGCGCGCGAGAGAGCGCGTGAGTGCGTGTGAGTGCGCATGAGAGTGCGTGTGAGAGTGCGCGTGAGATTGCGAGTGAGAGAGCGCGAGCGCGTGAGAGAGCGCGTGAGAGAGCGAGTGTGTGTGAGAATGCGCGTGAGAGAGCGAGTGAGAGAGTGCTTCAGAGAGCGCGTGAGAGAGAGCGTGAGAGCGCGTGAGAGAGCGCGTGGGAGTGCGCGAGAAAGAGCGCGTGACAGAGGGAATGCGCAAGAGAGTGCGCGAGAGAGAGCACGTGAGGGAGTGCGTGAGAGCCCGTGAGAGAGCGCGTGAGAGAGCGCGTGAGAGAGCGCGTGAGAGAGCGCGTGAGGGAGCGCGTGAGAGATTGCATCAAAGAGCGCGTGAGAGAGCGCGTGAGAGTGTGCAAGAGAGTGTGCATGAGAGAGCGCATGAGAGAGAGAATGCGCGAGAGAGTGCACGAGAGGGAGTGTGACGGAATGCGTGAGAGCCCGTGAGAGAGCGCATGACAGATTGCGTGAGAGAGCATGTGAGAGAGCGCGTGAGAGTGCGCGTGAGAGTGCGCGTGAGAGTGCGCGTGAGAGGGCGAGTGAGAGTGCGAGCGAGAGAGCGTGTGAGAAAGCGTGTGAGAGAGCGCGTGAGGGAGCGCGTGAGAGAGCGCGTGAGAGTGTGTGTGGGAGTGCGCGTGAGAGTGCGTGTGAGAGTGCGAGTGAAAAAGCGGAGCGCGAGCGCGTGAGAGTGCGCGTGAGAGAGCGCGTGAGAGAGGGCGAGTGAGAGTGCGAGCGAGAGAGCATGTGAGAGTGCGCGTGAGAGAGCGTGTGAGAGGGCGAGTGAGAGTGCGAGCGAGAGAGCGCGTGAGGGAGCGCGTGAGGGAGCGCGTGAGAGAGCGCGTGAGAGAGCGCGTGAGAGTGCGCGTGAGAGTGCGCGTGAGAGTGCGCGTGAGAGTGCGCGTGAGAGAGCGCGTGAGAGAGCGCGTGAGAGAGAGAGTGTCTGTGAGAGTGCTCGTGAGAGAGCACGTGAGAATGCGCGTGAGAGCGCGTGAGAGAGCGCGTGACAGCGCGTGAGAGAGCACGTGGGAGTGCGCGAGAAAGAGCGCGTGACAGAAGGAATGCGCAAGAGAGTGCGAGAGAGAGAGCACGTGAGGGAGTGCGTGAGAGCCCGTGAGAGAGCGCGTGAGAGAGCGCGTGAGAGAGCGCGTGAGAGAGCGTGTGACAGTGCGTGAGAGAGCACGTGGGAGTGCGCGAGAAAGAGCGCGTGACAGAAGGAATGCGCAAGAGAGTGCGAGAGAGAGAGCACGTGAGTGAGTGCGTGAGAGCCCGTGAGAGAGCGCGTGAGAGAGCGCGTGAGAGAGCGCGTGAGAGAGTCGTGAGAGAGTGCGTGAGAGTGCGTGAGAGAGCGCGTGAGGGAGCGCGTGAGAGATTGCATCAAAGAGCGCGTGAGAGAGGGCGTGAGAGTGTGCGAAAGAGTGTGCATGAGAGAGCCCGTGAGAGAGAATGCGAGAGAGTGCGCGAGAGGGAGTGCGACGGAATGCGTGAGAGCCCGTGAGAGAGCGCATTACATGATAGATTGCGTGAGAGAGCATGTGAGAGAGCGCGTGAGAGTGCGCGTGAGAGTGCGCGTGAGAGGGCGAGTGAGAGTGCGAGCAAGAGAGCGCGTGAGAAAGCGTGTGAGGGAGCGCGTGAGAGAGAGAGAATGCGCGAGAGAGTGCGCGAGAGAGAACGTGAGAGCGTGTGCGAGAGTGCGTCCGAGAGCGCTGGAGAGAGCGCGTGAGAGTGCACGTGAGTGCGCGTGAGAGAACGCGTGAGAGAGGGCGTGAGAGAGGGCGTGAGAGAGCGCATGAGAGAGCGCGTGAGAGAGTGCGTGAGGGTGCGCATGAGAGAGCGCATGAGAGCGCGTGAGGGTGCGCATTAGAGAGCGTGTGAGAGAGCGCGTGAGAGAGCGCGTGAGAGAGCGCGTGTGAGAACGTGAGAGAGCGCGTGAGAGAGCGCGTGAGGGTGCCCGTGAGAGAGCGCGTGAGAGAGCGCGTGAGAGAGCGCGTGAGGGAGCGCGTGAGATTGCGTATGAGAGAGCATGTGAGAGAGCGCGTGTGAGCGTGAGAGAGCGCTTGAGAGAGCGCGTGAGAAAGCGCGTGAGGTTCCGTATGAGAGAGCATGTGAGATAGCGCGTGTTATAGCGTGAAAGTGCGCGTGAGAGTGTGCGTGAGAGAGTGCGTGAGTGAGCGCGTGAAAGAGCACGTGAGAGAGCGCGTGAGAGAGAGAATGCGCGTGAGAGTGCGCGAGAGAGAATGCGCGTGATAGTGTGCCTGAGAGTGCGCCTGAGAGTGCGCGTGAGTGTGCGCGTGAGAGAGCGCATGAGAGAGTGCATAAGAATGTGAGAGCGTGAGAGTGCGCGTGAGAGTGTGCGTGAGAGAGCGCGTGAGAGAGCGCGTGAGTGAGCGAGTGGAAAAGCACGTGAAATGCGCGTGAAAGTGCGCGAGAGAGAGCGCGTGAGAGTGTGCCTGAGAGTGCGCGTGAGAGCGCGTGAGGGAGCGCGTGAGAGAGCGCGTGAGAGAGCGCGTGAGAGAGCGCGTGAGAGAGCGCGTGAGAGAGCTCGTGAAAGAGCGAATGAGCATGCTGGGGCGTAGGCACTAGCATCTATTCTGCTGGTGCTTGGGAAACTGGGGCTACTTATACAAATTAGTGTCAATTTTTGCACTAGCGCTTAGAGTGCCGGCTTCTAAGGTGTCGACGCTTCTGACGCTCGTCTAGGCCGCTGGCAACTAGCGAGCTAGTGCCAAGCACGCTCGCGCAGCGCGCTCTAACGCTTGGGCGCTGGCATGGCACATAATGTGCCGCGCCTGAAGCGCTAGCGTTATGGCCTTTGGCCTTTTGCTTTCTTGTACAGTGTGTGATCATGCACTGTTTTTTGGGCAAGGCATGCTGTTGCTTTCTCTGTTTTGGCTTTCTTGTGCAGGGCGTGTGTGTGTTGACTTCTCTGTTTTTGCTTTGTGCAGGGCGTGTTTGTGTTGACTTCTCTGTTTTTGCTTTGTGCAGGGCGTGTGTGTGTTGACTTCTCTGTTTTTGCTTTGTGCAGGGCGTGTGTGTGTTGACTTCTCTGTTTTTGCTTTGTGCAGGGCACGTGAGCTGAGAAGGAAGATGAGGGAGGGAGTGGGATGGAGATGAGGGAAGGAGGGAGGGAGGGTTGTAAGGAGGGTAAGGTGGGATAGGCTAGCAGTTATTTATGCATTTCTGAATTTTATTCATGACGGTTGTGTGTTTATTGCGGTCTTTGTATCTATCTGTGGTTGTTTGCATGTGTGTCAGTGTGTGCGTGTGCTTATTCGTGTGTGTACGTGCGTGTGTGAGCCTGTGTGTGTGATATGTGTGTTTTGTCTGTTTGCACCTGTCTGTCTCGTGTGTGCAACTGACGCGTGATGCTAAAGTGTGTCGGTCTTAGTAACTGAGAACAGCGGAATGGCTTGCATTGATTGAGTTGGGGTACAAGTACCTAACCCTAATTGTTTGTACCCCATATAGTATGACCCACTAAGGGCTATAACATTTGACACACCCCCATAGCCTAAGTGGGGAATGCCAAGTAACAGAACTTAACCTAAGGTCACAAGACCAGTCACAAGCAAGCGAGAAAACAAAGCTTAGGGTTGATTTCAACGTCACCACACATTCTGAGCACAAACAAGGGGCCACAAGGCCAGTTCAAGAGTGTACAAGCTAATATATATATGGTACAAACAAGCAAGAGGCAAGAACTCACTACTGCAGTCTACTAGACCCAGTCTCAACAAGGCCTAACTGCAGACAAAACCGGCGGTGGTCACAAGGCTGAAGAGCCTTGGTGAAGATGTCTGCAGTGTTGGCCTCGGAGGCCACGAAGTCCAGACGTGCCTGTCCGCGTCTCTGCAACTCTCGAAGGAGGAAGTACCTGACGTCGATATGCTTCACCCTGCTCTCCAGTCGAGGCTCACGACACAGGAGAATCATCGCCTTGTTGTCAGCAAACAAGGTCGGTGCAGAGCTCGGTCGCTCACCAAGGTCAGTGAGCAAGAAGGTCAACCAGCGTAGCTCCTGTGCAGCGAGGGCTCCAGCGTAGATCTCGGCCTCTGCGGTAGAAGTCGCAACAGAGGAGGACCGACTAGACATCCACGAAACAGCTCCAGAGCCCAGGCTGAAACAGTAACCCTGTGTAGACCTCTGTGACTCAACGTCGTCGGCGTAGGAGGAGTCGCAGTGACCGGTGAGTACAACTGGCTGTGTCCCTCCAAGTACAAGCCCCATGTCTGATGTCGCGCCGAGGTACTTCGCCACCCTCTTAGCTGCCGCCCAGTGAACAGGACGGTGTCTCCCTGTCGCAACAAAGCGAGAAAGGATGCTAAGAGGGAAGGCGAGGTCCGGGCGAGTGCACGTCATCAGGTACATGAGGCAGCCCACCAACTCTGCGTAGGGACCACTGGGCTCGAACGGCTCGTCAGGAAAAGGCCCAGTGAGTCTGTGGTCTACAGCAAGAGGGGTGGGAGGAGGAGAGGAGTGCTGAAGCCCGAACCGCTGAAGGACCTGCTGCACCATGTGTGACTGAGTCAGAGTGATGGTGCGAGCGGCTCTGTCCCTGGAGATCTGCAGGCCAAGGTAGCGGCGCAGTTCCCCAAGGTCAGTGCAGGTGTGTCTCTTCTGCAGTTCGGACTTCACCTCCGCCAGTGCAACTGTGTCGGCTGTGGCAAAAACCAGGTCGTCAACGTAGACAAGAACAAAGAAAGGTGTGCGCCCACGACGAACAAACAGCGACGGGTCGGCGGAAGACGGCTCAAACCCAAGGTCGGACAGAGTAGAGCGGAGAGTGTCGTGCCACTCACGGGGTGCCTGGCGGAGACCGTAGACCGGTCGTCTGAGGCTCCACTGGGTCCCAGGCGGGAAGGTGCCAGTGAAGCCCGGAGGACGACGCAGCCAGATCTCCTCGTGTAGGCTGCCCTGCAAGAAGGCAGTGGAGAAGTCGAGAGAGTGTAGCTCGTAGTCTCTCTGCGCTGCTACGTGCAGTAACACCCGAAGAGTGGTCATCTTCGGGGTGGGCGCAAAGGTCTGAAAGAAGTCAACTCCCTCATGCTGACTGAAACCTCTAGCCACGTAGCGTGCCTTGAAGACTGGAGGAGATCCCGGCGGCCGCTTCACCTTGAAGATCCACATGCCGTCAACAATGTTCGCCCCTGGGGGGGGAACCTCGTCAACGTAAGTGCCTGTGGACCTGTAGGAGGCCATCTCTGCGTCCATGGCAGCTCTCCACTAAGAGGCCCAAGGCCCTGACACTGCCTCAGCGTAAGTGCGAGGAGTAGGTATGTCAGGAGCGTCGGGGTCTCCCTCAGGAGCGAGCAGCATGGCACAGAGATGAGGTGAAGCGGCTGCCAGGAACTCTAGCTCAAACTGTCTATCCTCTAGGACGGCACAGCCAAGGGCAAACTCACCCCCGGCGGACAGAGGACGGACAGGAGGAGCCGCCACAACGCGAGTGGCGTAGTCAAGGCGACGCGTAGCAGTAAAGTCTGTGACAGCGGCAGTGAGGACCGCGACGGAGGAAGGAGAGGCACGAGGGTCTGTAACAAGAGAGGCGAGAACACGAGAGAGAGTGGGGCGGTACGTGCGGTAGTAGTCAGTGACCGGAGTGGACAGGGAGGCAGTGAGGGACGACTCAGGAGGACGAGGAAGAACAGACGGAGGAGAACGAGGAGGACTAGGACGAAACAACACGGTACGAAGGTCACGGACAGGTGACGAGGGACGAGCACGAGGAGGACGAGAGGCCCAAGTGTGGGAGAGAGGAGTGGGAGACGGAGCGGGAGACGGAGGAGACTGAGAACGAGGGAACACAGCCGGAGCTGAGTCCGGAGGAGGAAACGTCGGACCGAACACAGGAGGAGAGGAGGAGGGGAGACCAAGGGCCCGAAGGCCAGTAACAGAGGCCGGAGGCTGCTCCGGCTGCTGCGGCGGCTGCTGCTGCTGCTGCTGCTGCTGCTGCTGCTGCTGCTGCTGCTGCTGCTGCTGCTGCTGCTGCTGCTGCTGCTGCTGCTGCTGCTGCTGCTGCTGCTGCTCCCGCTGCAACTCCAGCCTCTCACGCTCCACCCGCTGCTGAACCTCCAACCTCTCACGCTCCAAACGCTGCTGCTCCTCACGCTCAAGACGAAGACGGGTCTGGTGTCGAGTCAGGTAGGGGTGAGGAGGAGGAGTGGTGTCAGGAGACGAAGAAGAAGAACCGGCTCCGCCCTCGACAGCACCCGGCTGAGAACCCCCAGAGCGTGTACCCCCTGCGGCAGCACGACTAGCACCTGTAGGAGGTGGACCCGCACCCCCAGTCGGGGTGCCTCCAGTGGCACCAGCACCAGCCTCAGACTCTCCAGCTCCAGAAACACCACCAGCTCCAGCACCACCACCAGCTCCAGCACCCTCGGAACGGGCAGCCGCGGCAGGTGCACGCTCAGCGCCAACGCCAACACCCCCAGAACGGGCGGCTCCTGTAGGTGCACGAACAGCTCCAACGCCAGCACCCCCAGAGCGAGCACCGCCAGAGCCCTCA